TTTTACAGAGTCTCACACGGCAGGTTGAAAGAGACAAACCACACAAGAAAAAAAATGGGAACTTTTCCCTTTGAACAAACCGCACTCTGCACCCAGAGTGCTTTGGCTGCAGACAACTTCGAGCTTGTGCCATTTATAGCAGGTGCTTTCAAGCTCGCCTGGCCATCTGCTTTCGGCTATTGAACGATACACTCACTCTCCAGACCAGCCCCCCCCCCCCCCCGGGGCCCTAGTCTGGTCCCTGGGGTCGCTGCGGTGTGGGTGTCTGAGCTGGGCCCGGGAAAGGAACGCAGTTGTTCTCGGCCGGCCGGGGTCGACCCTACCCGAGGCCAGCCCGGGGAGGAAAGAGACGCCTTTACCTGCAAACGAGAGATCTCTAAGGTCCCCGTGGCTCTTGGGCTCAAGGACGGCTAGGTCGCTTTTTTTCAAAGGACCGGCGAAGTGCGCAAAGATCTGGAGAGGAGAGCAGGGAATCCTCCGCAGCTCCCGCACCGGCCCCGCAGATTTGGTCGTGATCAAGTTCCTGCTTCCGTCGCAGCGACTGAAAGTTTGCACGGGGGAAGGGCGCGTCCCTGCCCTGCAACCCGGAGCTGCTTCCCGGCAACATCCAGCTTGACCACCCCAGCCGGGATGTGGGAGAGCCCAGGCTCGAGGTCCCCGGCTTCCCGCGTCGCCACCGCACCCAGCACACTGCGAGCCACTAGAGGGAGAACTTCGGACCCTCCGGGTCACCAAGGGTCTGCAGCTGAGCTGCCGGCCGTGGCCCTGTAGAGCAAAGGCACAGGTGCTGATGGGGAAGTCACACACTCAGGTGTGTGACTGTCCCACGCCAGGGTCGCAATCTTCTCGTCCTTCGCTTCAGAAGCAACCACTGTAAGCGGCAGTCGCTGCTTTTTTTTTTTTTGTTTTGTTTTCAGACGGCGTCTTGAAGGTCCGGAGGGCTTGGAATTCTTTGTGTAGGCAAGAATGACCTTGAACTCCCGATCCTCTTCCCTCTGTTTCCCAAGTGCAGCTACTACACCGGTACACCACCTCATTTGGTTCAAGAACACCTCCTTGGTCAAAGTTCACAGTGCATCCTATTTGGGCATAATTAGGAGAATCCTATTTCCTTTCTTGGAGAACAGGAGGGGCCTCAATCACAGCTGGCAGTTTCCCCAGGCAACCCTGAGGGAAGGCTTTTGGCTTTGGGGGGGCGAGGGTTTACTGGGTTGATGTTGTTGCTGTGTGTTGTTTGTTTTGTTTTTTGTTTTGTTTTGTTGCTTCTTTGAGATAGGTTCTCACTAGTCTGGCTTCCAATTTCATATGTAACTGAGGATGAGCTTTTAAGTCCCAATCTTCCTGCCTCTACCTCCCAAGGGCAAGTATCACAATTCCAGTTATGATTTGCTTATTATGGGTGTGGATCATATCAATGAAAGCAATGATGATGCCATTGTTAAAACGGCATCCCTGGACAGCTAGCATGGTACTTTGTATGTCAGAGTTGTTAAATGCATTTAACTAAGATGTGCTTGCTGCCGAGGGAATGGCAAATAAACATAGGGGGTTAAAGTAGCTCTCACCCTCTGCTCCCCTCACCCCTGCTTGCATAGAACCCCCAAACAAACGAAACCTCACTGAAACACTGGTGCAATTTGGTCTAGCTTTCAGCAGTATCTTCTCTTTGGCTGGTGTGAAAGTTTTCAAATTATAGTTATAGATGATTATTCTAGGCATGTACAGCCAACGAATAAGCCCAGCTTTAACCAATAGCTGTAGGAGGTATATGTGGCCAGAGAAATCTTGTGAACAATGAATGAATGAATGCTCCATTGTGTGAAACCAACTCATGGTAGGTAGAAGGTGACCTACTTTCCAGTTACAGCAATGTTGCCATAGCTTGGTACCAAAGAGTTGCCAAGGAAAACCAGACTCTGGTGTGGATTAATTACTTCACTGGAATAATTTTCCTGCTGCAACAAGACTCCAATGTATGCATACTCCCATCTCTAGATGATATGGTTGGGGGTGATGGGAACTAAGCAACTCTGCACCATTAGAAATTTCAGGTTGCAGGGTGTCTCCACAACTGCCCATAACCCCGAAACTCAAGATGGGAAAGCAGGAAGATCAGGTTATCCTTGGTTGCATGGCAGAGACTTCACAAGGTCCTGTCTCAAATGACAAAGAAATGTCAGCTTTAGTGTTCTGCTTGTTATATGTCTCAGTTACAGCAGTGAGTAAAGGTCACTGATGAAAATAATGACTAAACAAAACTTCCTGGAGCTGGACCTGGAGGTACAGGTTTGTAATCCCAGCTAAAGCTTAGATAGCAGAACCACAAGTTTAATGTCTGTGTGTGCTACCGGGTGATTTTTAAGCTAGCAGGTAAAAATATTAAGAGCTTGAAAAATGGCTTAATGGCTAAGAGTTCATAGTGTTCTCCTAGAGGACCCAAATTTGGTTTCCAGAACCCACATCAGGCAGCTAACAACGTCATATTAAGCATTTTTTTTAAGATTTATTTTTGCAGGACATGGTGACATGCACCTCTGATCCCATTACTCAGGAAGCAGAGGCAGGTGGGTCTCTGTGAGTTTGAGGCCAGCTTGGTCTACAGAGCAAGCTCCAGGAAAGCCAGAGATATAAGGCCCTCTCTCAAGAAAGACTTTATCATATGTATATGAATGTTTGCCTGAATGTACGTATATGTACCATGTGTGAGCCTGCCCAGTATCCCGAAAAGACAGAGAAAGGTATTGAATCTCTGCAACTGGAATTATAGTGGCTATGAGCCACTTTGTAGGTGCTGGGAACCAGACCCAGGTCCTCTACAAGAATAGCAAATGCTCTTAACCACTGAATAATCTCTCCATCACATAACAACTAAGGGCTGGATATATAGCTCAGTGGTAAAGCACTTTCCTAGCATATACAAGGTCCTAATTTCAATTCACAGAATAGTAAAAACTATAAAATAAACATTTCACAATTCTGTTGATATAAAACAGATGTTTAAATAGAAACCAAATCTATTGCTACCTCATTGCATGGTGAGGTTTTGTTATGTTTTTGAAATGGGGTCTTGTTATGAAGCCTGGTCTAATCTTGAACTCGGGATCTTCCTTCCTTAGCTTCCTGGGTGCTGGGATAATGTTACTCTCTTGCACTGCTTGGTCCTTGAATCCTGACTGGAGTGATGAGAGAATGAAGGCAGGACAGACACACAGACATATGTACAGAAAAGCTGGGATCCGGTGGGCTGAGTTTCCTCTGATGGAGGACACCAACCACAACAGCAACCGAAACCCAAAAAGTGCTCTGGATTGAGGAGGTGGCCCTTGGCATACAGCTGAATAAAGAGGCAGAATTAGCCCATCTTGGCAGAAAGGGATTGGAGGGAGCAGCCCTAGGCTGCTGTGTGGTAATATTTTGTTTCTGATCTAATAAAGCTGAGAGTACAGAGCTAAGCCACTAGTTAGCCACTCACCTACTTAAGAGCTAAGTCACTAGTAAACCACACACACACACACACACACACACACACACACACACACACACAAAGTCACTAGTTAACCACATACCTAAGCCACTAGTTAGCCATAGGGGATAAGCAGTGGTGGCTACACCTTTAATCCCAGCATTCGAGAGACAGAGGCAGATGGATCTCTGTGAGTTCAAGGCCACCCTGGGCTACATGAGAGTGAATCAGTCTAAAAGAGAAACAGAGCTCACACCTTTGATCCCAGCACAAAGGGTTGACACAGCTTTAATCCCAGCACTAGAGAGGAATATAAGGCTTGAGGAGACAGGAGCAGTCTAGGTTTAGTGAGAATAGTGCAGTCTGGAGATGTCGTCTGAGGTCAGGAGTGCCCCTTCGTCTGAGCATTGGTAGAGGTGGGAACGCTCTAGTGGCTGGCTTTGCTTCTCTGATCTTCAGCTTTAACCCCAATATGTGTCTCTGAGTTTTAATTATTAAGACCAACTATTAATCGTGCTACACTGCAGCCATCCGAGAGGAAGCTGTGGTTAATAGTTTCTATATGCACAGCATTTGAACTTGGACCACAGGAAGCCTTTGCAATCCCATTGAGTCTCACCTAGGAAGGCTTTGCTACTCCCATGGGTCTGAGGCACTGGGGTCCTTCACATGGTTGTGCTCATGTCAACAATGCATTAACTCAGGGCTCCCTCTGATCCCCACAGCATTACAAGTGTGTATCTCTGGGTCTGGCATCTCAAAAGATTTTTGATCCTCTTCCCTGAGAGTTAAGACTCCCATTTACATGAAGGCACAAAAAAGTGTTTGATTAGGAAAATACCTGTTAAGTACCTCGCAAGAAAATCAAAGAATAAGACATGGGGCCTGACTTCAAGTTGCTTCTAGTTCAGTGAGTGGGATAGGTACATCAATGGCTACGGAAGGGCAGATATTATGATAGAAGATGCTAACTAAGGAATCTCAGAGGGTGGTCTTCCAAGAAGAGGTATATAAGTTAGATCTAAAAAGGAGAAGCTCAACTAGCTAGATAAGGAGAAAGAGGAGGAAAAAGAATGAATAATTCGGAGAGAGGAAACAGACTACTCAGGCATCAGCCTATTTGGCAGGAAAGTTGCCTGTACATCAACGAAAAAGGATACTAGAATATACTAGTATTCTGGAAAATTCTCCCTGCTTGCTACATGGAGAATAGATTGAAGGAAGTGAGGTCAGAGGCCTCTGACTTCCATGAAATGAAAGAAATGATGAGGCCTTGAACTGGGCATGGAAATAAAGGAGAAATTAAGGAGACAAGGTCTCTGGGACTTAGTGACTGCTCAGATGCATTAGTGAGGCCAAGTAGACTTTTGTATGGGAGAGCAGGTGGGCGGGTGTGCTGGGTAATATAGGTAGGGAGAGCCAGGCTGGAGGAGGCTCTTCTCTGTATGATCAAGAATAAATCACTTTACTGAAAAATCAAGAGAGCTGTTTCTAAGATAGGCTTGATGGCACAGCCTCGTAATCCCAGGACTTGAAAGGCTGAGGTAAGAGAATTTTTGTGAGTTTAAGGTGCACCTGGGCTACAAAGCAAGACCCTGTCTCAAACAACAACAAAAACCACAGAAAATAAAAAAAATTCTTATAAGATGTGATATAAGACTCATATATATGAAAGTGCTATAAGCTTTCAAAGGCTGTTCATAAATGTAACACAGATTGCTACTCACATATAAGTGATTCTAAGAGGCACCAATCACAGATGGAGAAAACTTACTGTACAAACACTCTACATTTTCTTGCCATTGGACTGCAAGTTTCTTAAGTATAAAAGAGCTACGTCTTGTTGAATCTTCTTACCTCTAACATGTGTCTAGCACCTGGCAGGTTCCCAGTAAGTGTTGAGTCAGCAAATGAGGGCATACTTAATTCCATATTACATTAAATCCACTCTTTTTTGTTTGTTTTTTGTTTTTCGAGACAGGGCTTCTCTGTGTAGCTTCGGAGCCTATCCTGGCACTCGATCTGGAGACCAGGCTGGCCTCAAACTCACAGAGATCCGCCTGCCTCTGCCTCCCTAGTGCTGGGATTAAAGGCGTGTAAATCCACTCATTTAAAGTGTATACTTCAAAGACTGGAGAGATGGATGGCTCCCCGGTTACAATTGTGTACCACTCTTGCAGAGGGCCTGAATTCAGTTCTCAGCACTCATATCGGGTAGCTAAAGACTGGCTGTAGCTCTGGTTCCCAGAGATCTGAGGTTCTCTTCTGGTCTCCATGGGTACCTTAACCCCTATCCTCTGCTCCTAATAAAAATAAAATCTAGAAGAAGGAGGAGGAGAAAGAAGAGGAAGAGGAGGAAGAGGAAGAAAAGGAAGAGGAGGGAAGAGGAGAGAAAGGGAAGAAGAAAGAAGAAAGAAGAAAGGCACTTACACATCTTCCTTCGCCATTCTAGACCTGGGCATGATAGCACATACCTGTAATCCCAACGTTCAGGAGGCTGGGACAGGAGAATCATCTGACCTGGACTTGTGTATCAAGTACTAGATCAGAGAGAGAGAGAGAGAGAGAGAGTAAGAGAGAGTGAGAGATCCTGACTCAAGAACACACAGCACACCGAACCCAAAACAAAGCAAAACAATCTCTCATATTCCTGATATCTGGGTAAATTTTATGTCTATCTTCATTTTTCTACAAAATACTGAACTTGAAAATCTATTTGCATTCTCATCATTGCATTGTAAAGGGGATTGAAGCAAGAGCCAGTTTTGAAACCATAGTCCTAAATAATCCTATCTCTTACCACCTGATAACTTGGAAATTACATATTTATTGGCCTTAGAGTTGTGAAAATTAAATGACACGAAGCAGAGAGCATGTTTGCCCCACAGCAGGAGAAAGCTAAAAATCTCTCTGCCAGTTTGGCCCTGATTGGATTATATTTATCCATTGTCAGGATTCCACCGGGCCTGATCACCAAAGATAATCCCAGCTGGGTTTGCTGACTGCAACTTTTCCTCTTGGAAGGAAAGGGGGGGGGGGGGTGAGAAGGATTATGTATGCAATTGTGCCTTAATTTTAGGTGGCCTTGGGGGTGGAGGACTGTCTCTGTGTGGGGCTAGATTATGTAGGTGGAGAGTGAAGGGTGAGAACTCTTTATACACTAAGGGTTGGGGGAGTATCTTGTATATCCAGTGCTGAACTTTCGGTGTGGCTGCTTTTAAGTCACCCATGGTTCCTCCTCACCCACTGTTCCGTAAATAAGCCTAATAAACTCATTGGTTCCTCAGAATGAATTTTGGTGGTAGTCGGGACAGTAGGAGGGTGTAGATGTATTTATATCTCTCCTAGGGAAGAAATTTTAGCAACACAGGCGTACACCACAGAGACTAGGGGCTTGTAATTTCTTGAAGCAGTTGAGAGAAGCCCTGGAAGGCGTTGGGTTACGACCCGCCTTTATCTGATTTGTTCACACAAGCAGTTTCCGTTTTTCTATTATCTGTACGTTTTTCTATTATCTGTACATCTTCCTGGCCATTGGTAGTTCCATAGGGACCCGTCAAAAACCATCAAGATCCTCAGAAAAGTGCCTAGATTCGCTTCCCGTTCAAGAGATGTAAAGCAGCATACCCTAACGGTTTTCCTGTCATTTTTAGCTCCTTCCTTTACAGTGTCTTGGCAGTTTTCTATATGGGAGGCCAATGCTAAACTCCCTGCTTTCAAAGTTTAGAAAAGGGCTTTGCTTCTGTCCTAGTGAGGACTGAAAATCGGTGACTACAGACCATCTTTATTCTCCATCGGTAAAGCGGGTAGATAGACCTATTTTGCGGTGCGTGCCTGTGGTTCGCCTCTACCATCCCAGGTTGAGTCAGGGGGATGGCCCAGAGTTCAAGGCCACCTAGGGGCTACAGTGTGCGGGCCCTATGTCAAAAACAAAAACCCAGTCCATCTTGCAAAGCTGTTCGAAGATCATCGGTGTTACAATGCTAACCCTGTGGATCTCCAAGGTAACATGTCGTCGGTAGGAAAGAGCTTCCTTTACCCTCCCGGACACCTTTGGCCTTCAGGAGGCCTGGCC